CCAGAGACTAGAATATATGGGGACGCCCGTAAATCTGACAACAACTCATCTAAAGCAAGAGATAAGGAAAATAAAGTGTTTGTAACAACAATACATAATGGAAATGATGCAGAAACTATAGATGTTTCTGATGAAGGAGAGAGACAGGATAATAAAGGAACAGAGGAGAAATTGATAAAAGAGTCAGATGTGACATCTCATAAAACTACAGATGTAGAAGAAGAAAATAAAGAAAAGCATATACAAGAGGCAGGAGAGAATACACTTGAAGAAACAATAAACTTTGGGCATATAGAAGAACCGGCTGATGTGGTAGGAGATATCATTAGACAAGATGTTACTATACATAGAAGAGATAGATTGGAAGAAAGACATAGAGATATTGAACATATAGCAAAAGAAAAAGGAGATGAGGATGGAAGTGTTAAACACAAAGAAGAAATTGATGGCAGAAACTTAACTGTAGAAGTAACAGATACTGAAACAGACACAACACTAGGAGAAACAGACACACAGACACGAACAAAACAACTTAAGAGAAATACTAACAGGAAAAGACTTTTACCACCAGATCCACCAAGAAGATCTGATAGAGCAAGAAAACCACCAAAACGCTATGAAGATTTTCAAATGTACGGAATGGTTAATACAAGCACTACACCATATGATTCTAGATTCAAAGCTCTGGAGACATTAATTGGATCAGGGGTACTTCAAACCATGGACATAGACACAGCACGAAAATTAGTAACATCTCTAATGTCATAAGTTTTAAAATTTTAAACTGCTTTTAAGGTTTGATGACAATAATAATAATAAAAACCTAAATCATATCAAACTTAATATAAAACCTTTGATATTATTATTTTAAAAATATAGTATTAATGTTCTTATGAGATATATCATAATGACATTTTAAATGGGGACATTTTATTTTAAGCAGGGGGGAGAAAGTTGAATGTTAATTAAAGTACATTGTATCAAGTACATAGTACTTTAAGTACATTATTCTTTATGTACATTGTCCGTTAAATGCACTGTCTGGAAAATAAAATTGTGTTAAGGATGTTAAAAGTTGAAGTATGTTATTCTTTAAGGTACTCTGTTCTTTAAGAAGATTGTTCTTTAAGTACATTGTCTTTAAAGCATAAACATTTTTTTAAATAAATGGAGTTGATCATATTGAGAATCATATTGTGTTTGGTATATTCACAATACATGTTTATTGTAGTTAGTATTAATCTATGACTATCATAGATTTTAGTTAGTTAGTTGAAGTAGAGATATTTTGACGAGACAATGACGGGACGTCATTTAAGACGGGGCGGAAATGTGTAACCAAGTGCTATTTTTAAGGTTTTTGCTATTTTTCAAGAAAGGTAACTCTGTCGGCCTTGTTTGATTTTAATCTTTACTTTTGTGTGATTATGTCCCCTTGACCACATTTGCTATTTGCTCAACCATAACGTTTCCCTCCTAAAGTTAGGGTCACTTGAGGTCATTCTTTGTGTTAAAGAAGTTGTTGGTCATTGTGACATGTAGATGTGTTGGTTTAATATTATTAATAAGGATTTGGATTGAGGAATTGGTATTTGTATGTTTTATTCATTTGTTCTTAAAAGTTCTAATGTCAACTAAATGAAGACTTATAGTAATTAAATACAGTTGTGGATTTGATAAAAGTTATTTTGATAAATTTGTATTGTTCTTGAGTGTTAGAATTCAAGATGGCAGCATATGTTCTTATCTTATAGTTATTCATAGAAATCACTGTTTCTATTTGTATTGCACTGATGTTTGTAAATTACAGTTTACAGCATAATTAACAGCAAAGTGAGATAGGTGTGAGTGACAGAGGTACATGTATATTTACAGAGTCTGATCCACAATTGGTATGTTATATTATATTTATATGTCATTGTTTATATATTTTTGGAGCTACATGTATATTTTTAAGTTGAGCATATATTGTATATTGGTTTATAAATAAATGATTAAGTGGTCACTAGATGCAGGTACAATATGATGTAATACATTTAAAGATGTATTTTATGTGTACATGAATTATTTACATGAGATAAAATGAATGGTCTATCCATATAGACTGATCTGTTGATTAAGTATATTTAAGGTACTGTAGTGTATACAAGTCATACAAATGTATAAAACTATATATTTCATGATAGTATGGGATGTTTGGTATTTATACTTTCAGGGCTTGATAGATGTGATATAGATGTGATATAGATGTGATATAGATGTGATGTAACTGTGATGTGTATGTTGTATGATGTATGACATATGATGTTTGCTGTTGAGATGTACCAAATTGGAATTATATATAAAGCTAGTGTCCACTACAAATTAAATTGATGAACCAGTAACCCTCAGTTTGTTCTTTACTTATACAAGGCAAAAAAAGACATCGGGGTCACACAGGTACTTCATTACATACGGAGTGATTCGAACATTCCATTGCCGTATTGATTTTAATCATTATTATTATTATCATCATCATTTTTGGAGGTGTGTGCATGAAAGCTACTTGAACTAAATAGATTTTACGACCCTTAGTTTTTAAACAAAAGTCAAAGTCTCCCTAAAGTACACAGAGCTGACTTGTATACTCTATTTGTGCGTCACAGCGGACATTGAGGGTCAGGTCCTTCGCAACAAACGGGGAGATTTGAACTTTCCGTTGTCATGCTTAATTTGTTTGCCAATGTAAATTAAACGCAACTTGAAGAAAATCGATTTCTCACAGAGTTCATTTTGAACCAAAAGTCAATTTCTCCCTTACGTACACATAGCTGACTTGTATTCTCTATTTGTGTGTTTTAGCGAACATTGAGGGTCCTGTCCTTCGCAACAAAGGGGAGATTTGATCCAACCTGTTGTTGTTGTTGTTGTTAATGTTGTTATAATGCTTAATTTAATTTTGTTTTTTATGTGAAGTGAACGCACCTTGAAGCAAATCGATTTTGCAAAAACTTCATTATGAACGAAAAGTTAATTTCTCCCTTAAGTACACAGAGCTGACTTGTATACTCTATTTGTGCATTTTAGCGGACATTGAGGGTCAGGTCCTTCGCAATAAACGGGGATATTTGAACTTTTCGTTGTCGTGCTTAATTTTGTTTTGAATGTAAAGTGAACGTATCATGAAGAAAATCGATTTTTCACAGAGTTCATTTTGAACCAAAAGTCCATTTCGCCCTTAGCTGACTTCTATACTCTATGCATAGATCCCTGACCTATCTATTTTTTATCATCAGATTAGTGGATACAATAACAATTTCACCACAACCTATTTGTTAACAAAAGAGCACATGTCAATGTTTGTGGTTACATTTATTGTTATTCAAATAAAAGGTCAGAGTAGGGATCTATCAATTTGTGCGTTTTAGCGGACCATAAGGGTCAGGTCCTTCGCAACAAACGGGAAGATTTGAACCAACATTTTGCTTTATTATGCTTAATTTTATTTTGTTTTGTATGTAAAGTGAAAGCAACTTTAATCAAATCGTTTTTGCAGGAAATTCATTTTGAACCAAAAGTCGAAGTCTCCCTGACGTACACAGAGCTGACTTGTATACTCTATTTGACACTGAAGGTCAGGTCTTCTCAACAAAAAGAGAGACTTGAATGTTTCGTTATTAAAAATATGCTAAACGTTGGGTTTTGTATGTGAACTGAACACTTTTTGCATCAAATGTATTTTACAACCCGTGCGTTGAGAAAAAAGTTTTCCTTCTGTTTTCAGAGCAGACTTGCTTACTCTGTGCGTTTAAGTGGAAATTGAGGGTCAGGTCCTTTGCAGAAAACGTGAGTTTTGAACTTTTTCTTTACCAAGTTTTATGAAGTTACGAATTTATTCATACTACGTGTACTAAAGTACAAATGTACATGATTATATACCCAAGTCTATCAATAGGTCTTTTAAAGATCCTGTAACACATTTTTGTTATGGTTTTATATAAAAAAAATATGGTGTCCAAATTAAGATTTATCAATATTGTAAGTACAAAAAAGCATTATTTATAAGATATTACCGAATTCAATAGTTCATGTAAATAAAGGGAGGTAATTAGAATTTTTTTTTCTATAAATTCTAAGTCAATTTTTTTGAATAAGAATTGAATGCATATAATTTAATGATAACATTTATTATATATTCTTCGATGTTTGAAAATTGTTGTATTAGCATAATTATATACATATATAATTTCACGTAAGAGTGGTATACAACCTCAAATACAAAACATAATGATCTTTAACAATTAGGAGAGCACATAAAAGTTGATTTATATTTGAACTGTGCATTGCACAGATTACGTGTCCCTCGCATGATAAAATATCTCTCGACTTCTAACGAGAGCTAATCACACTTTTCATGCATAAACAAATTTGTAACTCTACTTGTATTTGAGACAGGCGATATCTTTATCTTTTACTGTTTTCTGTTGTTTTTTTAAACTTTAAACATTTATGCAACTTCGTTAGGGGATCAGAATCAGGGATGGGAAGCTATACTTTTAATGAAATTAAATTATCGAGTTAAAGACATGCTTAATAAGCTGTGTAGTTGTTCAATAACTAGCAACACATTTTTAAAGCAGATACTAACAGTTCTCTTCAACATCAAAATGCATTCATTTCATAAAACAACTTGATAAGGTAGTGACAATATGCAACCTTCAATGTATAGGATCAAGTTGATATAATAAATAAATGAATAAGCTTTATATATACGTCATAAGTTAACAACACAATGCCATTGGCATAATGTGAATTGCAGTTTTGTTAAACTTTGCCACAATGAACGCCAAGCTAAAAACAAAAGATATTAGAATGTAGGCTGTCTCCGAGAATTCGTTTTAATTTTTGAAAAAAAAAATGAATATGGAGGAAAAACTTGAAAATTTGTAAGGTCAATATACAGGTAACTTTATGCATTTTCCCTCGATTGTAGTAATGACATAAATGTTTTAAAGCGAAATTTATCCTTCCTCACAGCTAACATAGCTGGCGAGTTTTCTACATTGTGCAGGTTTATAGGCATAGAAGATCATGATTTCAGCAATAACGTTGATGCCTTAAAAAAATGCTTTAATCGACTTATTACACTCAGGACAATATCGAAGACGCTCCACACATGAATAACACAGATAATGTTTGTAAGGTCGACAACTCACCAAACGGACAATATCACGTTCCTGGTAACAACCATCACACAATCCAAACTTCCCATTACAAATTGTCCGCACAAAAAAAGAAAAAAGTGAAAAAGAAGATATAAGAGAAAAATCATCATTTTATCATCATATTCAACGATAATATAATATATTACAAATCGAGGAAAATTAAGTAATAAGAAACTTATCTTTTACGTCTTTTTCATGTACTACATGCACTTATTTTCATGCTAAATACTTGTACGTAATAACTTTAATTACTTTGATAAATTGATTCTCAATTTTTCGCTGTTAGCATTGATATTTCGCTTATATTGTATGAATAAAATTAGTAAATTGATATCGTTCCGATATTCCTAATAAGTATTTGTCAGTATACGTACCTTCATGTCGAGTTTTAGCCATAATTATTCCAATATACAGTACAATAACAGACACACCAGCAAAACCCATCATTGCATAGGTAATTGTCGGTTTGCTGCTCACATCAGTCGCTGAAAATTGAACGTATTTAAATGTTTAGTTTTAAACTAGGAATTCATTAATGACGTAAATTAATCAGTGAAATTATACTTCAGATTATTTAATTAGCTCTAAAGTTTCCAGCTCAAACGCATTATATAAGCAGCTGAACAATAAATTTTATTAAAAGGTTTTAGACAAAGGTGAACATGTGTATACGTTCAAAATAAAGTTTATGCATTTCTAGGAAATCAGAAGATTGCTTTCAGTGCAAATAACAATACATTAATTACATTAATTATCAAATTTTAAAAAATTCAATAGCGAGTCTTCGATAATTTTTGCACTTCTATAATGCATTGATTTAAATCGGAAAAAAGTATAACAATTTTAATATATAAAACATTTTAATATTGAATATATGTACGATTTGACAAATATCAGGAGATATTTACATAATTTAAATGGATATTTTAACAAATTGATATAAGATTATTGAAAGGAATATCCCAACAATCATACCATTCAATGAGGTCTCAATTTTCACTTCCAGGTGGATATAGCTCGAGATGTTTTTATCCAGGAATATACGACTGTTTATGCATATCTCGAATATCTGTGCACCATCCTTAAGGTTAATCTTTCCGGGAAAATGCATCTTTAAATATATAATTAGCAATGAACGTCCTGTATGTTTACACTAATAAAGTTACAATTTAAAGTAAATATACCAGTAAAATCACCACTAGGTCACAAAATATATTCTGTCATTTTAGTAAAAATTGTCGTTCTTACCCTTTTTAAAGCGACATCGATATGCGCGTGCATCGTTTGTTTACCGTAGTGACCCAGATGTCAAAATAGAAAACCAACTCAAAATGGATATTCGAAGGTGAACAATTCAAAGTGTTAGGAGGAGATAATTCTGGAAATATGGATGCTAGATTTATTACCTTTGTCATATTATTATGATGTGGGAGTTTGAAGTAAATCCTAAAAGAAATGAAAACGTTTGAGTAAAAGATTTCTAGAAAAAAAGTTTTGCTTGTGATTTTGAAAATACACGCAGATTTTTCACCGATATAGGTATGTTTATTGTTAATAACTTTGCTGTTACTCAAACCGATTTTGATCAGATAAGGCGCAGAGTACTCATAATTTTATCAGCTTCCCACGGTAAATCAAAATTTTGAAAACCCCTGAATGTTTTTGAGAACATTTGAGAACAGTTTTGTTTTCATAGTCGAGGCCGAAGGGAACGGTACATACTCATTTGTCACAACAAGCGATTTCTGGCAAATTGTCCGTTCTTTTTCACTATTTCATAGCAAAAAAGAATGCTAAATCTTACATTTTTACTTTGTCTAATATATCTTGTGAAATGTTTTAACATATTTTCATAAAGTTATGTTGAAATGGTACGGAACACACTGTTATTTTAAAAGATATGGTACACACACAGTTTAACCCTAATTGAATAAATCTGAAAAAATATACGAAAATTTGCTTAATGTAAGTGTCTTTTCCTCAAAAAAATATAAAGTATAAAATATTAAGCAAAAAGTATTTCAGATTCATTCAATATTTATACAACTCTATTTAATAAATTGTAATTTTTTATCTGCATATTTAAACAAACTAAACAATGTAAAAAGGAAAGTACAAACTGACCATTTTTGAATTAACAATCCAGTCTAAGTCCGGTCCAGAAGAAGGAAAACAAAATGTTGTATGAACAAATGTTGTCACCCATAATAGTTTGAAATAAAACATCATATTTTTTTTCCTCTTAAATCTTAACGTCATTGTCATATCAAAATAGCACACTGACTTAAACTCAAACTTCATCGTGCTTGTTTTATAGGTAGTACTGTACTATTTTTGTTTGGAATTGGGATACCAGATGGATGATTAAATGTCCCAAACTAAACTAAAACCGACAAGATACCATGATATCATATTCATCGCCTATTATCTTTTATCTTTATCACATATACAATTACTCATTTTTTGGGACGCTTGTCCATCGCAAACCTGAAATACATAATTATGTATAAAAATACATGTATAATAGTTTCGTTGGTTATTCTTTTATTCCATTAGGCAATATGTATGCCATAATGTCATTACAAGCATGTTATAAATGGCGAACAATGACAAGCAGAAATGTACCTTAAACATCAATAATTGGAGAAGTTTGAACATGAATATTACAAACATAAGAACACACACACGCACGCACACATGTACGCACACAGGCACGCACACACACATAGATATAAAAGTAGGTTTTGGGAAATACAGAATATAAATTAGTTTACTTTTTATACGTTTATTCTGTTAGCGCTTTCAATGCTTGTACAGTATCTTCTGACAATAAGTGCGGGAAACGTAAAAATACGACGTTGCGCGGCAAATAAAATATATACTTAAACTCTTTTACGTGCATAAAGTAAACATTCTATAAAAGGAGGTATTTAATACGTGTTGAGATTCAAAACATTGACTGATTAAAGAAGTAAATACAATGTTTGCATTACTAATTACATTGTATTATTATAATTCTTATTAGTCAAAATTAGAATCTTAAAACGTATATATTAACGAAGAAAACTTAATGTATACAACAATGACAAGTAGATTTATTGAAAAATGCATCAAGAGAATGAAAATAAACATTCTAAAGTATAAAACTATACATTTTATGAGAAAAACACGTGCCGGTAAATGTTTGACATCAAAACATAGCTAGAAGTTTGATGCCTACCAGAGAACCACAATTTTAGATAATTAGTGTGGGATGTTAGTAAGATGGTAGAATTTCTTATGTTTAAAGGGGGGGGGGGGGTTCAAAAGTTTTGAGCCTAAATATGATAGGGATTTTCTACAGATTTCAATTCTTGGTCTGAGGACTTAAAGAAGTCTTTGTTCACATGACCTTAATGGTTATATTTTTAATTTGCTGTTTTTTAAAGGAGGTCCAAAATCTGCGGATATTTCTAAATTCCTTATTTGATTCTTCGCTGATTAAATTTTCGATTTCAATTTTTTCAAATTAATGCTTAACATAACAAATCAGTACTATGGTGAGCAAAATTTGCTCGTGCACATTTCTTTGTTGAATTGATTTTTAAAGGCACGGAATTGAAAAGAGTGTTTAATCTTTATAAGCTGTGGTATCCTTCCTGTGTTTACCAGTTTACCAGAACAAAATTGACCGAAATGAGGTTATACATGTTAAACTGGTCAATTTAGACAGACGTTTAAACAATTAGGTCAATAAAATAAACTCTGTTTTTAGCTCGACTTTTCTATGAAAAGGGGAGCTATCCTACTCGCCCCGGCGTCGGCGTCGGCGTCGGCGTCGGCGTCGGCGTCACACCTTGGTTAAGTTTTTCGTACCACCCCACTTTATTTCAGAAGTATTACAAGTATGGCTTTGAAACTTACCATACTTGTTCACCATCATAACCTCCATCTACAGACAAGAGTACATAACTCTGTCAAGGTTTTTTGACAGAATTATGGCCCTTTTTTGACTTAGAAAGTGTATTGAGCTTGGTTAAGTTTTTTTGTACCACCTCACTTTATTTCAAAACCATTGGAGGTATTGCTTTGAAACTGACCATACTTGTTTACCATCACGACCTTCATCAACAGACAAGAGGACATAACTCTGTCAAGGTTTTTGACAGAATTATGCCCCTTTTTGACTTAGAAAATACATTGAATATGGGTAAAATCCACTTATTGCCTTAACCCTTTGAGATATTGCTTTGAATTTTTTAATGCTATTTCACATCATTACCCCCATCTGTACGCAAGAGAAGGTAACTCTGTCAAGGATTTGTTTTAAAAAATTAAGGCCTTTTATCGACTTAGAATCTTGGTTAAGTTTTTAGTACCAGTCCACTTTTTGACTGAACTGTTTGAGATATTAATTTGAAAGTTGGAATACTTGTTTACAATCATGATTCCAAACATGTCCAGGAGAAGGTAATTCTGTCAAAGATTTTATTTGAATTATGGCCCTTAACTGTCAATGTTTTGTATTATAGGCAAGCACTAAAAAACTCAACTCAGTTTTTTTTTCTTTCTTACCAGCCCTCTTTTGACTTAAACATTTCAAACTTTGCTGCAGTGTTCAAGGGTATCACACAATTCAGTAAAATAATTCTTCACTAAATATCTTAATGCTCATGGCCATTGTTCACTTTAAAAATACAGAGATTCTTGTATTGCCTTTTACTGCAAAAACTTTTTTTATTGGCAAGCAATAAAAAAGTCGAGCGCGCTGTCTTACGGACAGCTCTTGTTTAAATTAACAACCCAGGCACGTTATGCCACAATAACGAATAAATGCTTCCTTTTTAGAAGGAGAACAAACATCGGTTTGTATCATGAAAATAATGGTTTTAGAGCAGGATACATGTTTATCACCTGGAAAAAGAAGCACTGAATGTGAAATTGCTTGTCATACAAGTAGAAAAATGTAAACAAAGTAGGTTTTTTACTTCTACAACAAATAATCACTGCAACTGCACTTTACGCTAAAAGGCAATTGAAGCAAAAGATGGTTCAATGAATAGACCTACGGAACTTTATCAAAACACCAACACTTAATAAGAAATATAATCAAAGCGCTTTTGGGACATAATCGACCTTTTGATTATTTTTTCTTTGTTGAGTAGATGTATATTTCCGTGATGCCACATAAGCATAATAATAGATCAATACATGTACATTTGTTGGTTTACATTCATATTTAATGGTACCATACACCCAAGATAAGCAAATGGTGCATTAATGTTTTCCTAATGGAAGAGTTTGCCATTTTACTGTTCTACTACTTGCTATTTTATTATGAACATATGCACTGTTCGCATATTGCTACATGCTAATTATTATGTCATCTTTGGCATGTTACATTTGTATGATTATATAAAATATGTGTTTGTATGTCTACTTTTGTAAAAATAATTTCCTGAATGCTTGGATATTTGAGTGTGAATACAAAGTGTCATTGAAACAAACTGGCAGGATTTGTCAAAGGAAGGACCACGTGAACTGGAACAGTAAAAGAGTATGCTTCAACACCTTTGTTTGTACATTCTATCATTCGAATGAAATTTATTAAATAAGAATTTCCTAGATTTCAATATATGTTTGTATTTAAGATTATTTTATTTAAACTATTCTTTACTTCACATGGAGCATTGGATGCCGTTTATGATTATGTATACAACTATGTAAATATATATATATATAGAAAATTAAGTGATTATAAATGTTAAGTATGAAATATTGGTATAAAATGGTTATCGATCTTAATAATTTCGAACGATAACACATTTTAGAAACAGAAATAGAAAAATAAATCAAATCTTTTGCGTTCTATATTGATTTATTTAAAATTTATAGCAGAAAATTACAGTTATAAAGCTTTAGTTTTGAAGTATATCTCTAAAAGCCATTTTTTACAGCGCATCATTCTACATACATGTATAATTTAAGTTTCAATTGCAAGACAAAAGTGATAAATTGCAAATTCTTCTTACTGAAATAAATTCAATGATTGCATTACAATTACGATAAAAGAACAAGGCCTTCAAATGTGTAAGCTCTCAAAAACATAATGTAATGATTATTAAAGAACTATAGCCGCCGCAAGAAGAAGAAAATAAAAGTTTTAAGCATTCCAAATGTGAACTATTTAAACAATGTTATCATTGATGAATTTCAGAGACGGGTTTTCACATGCCTTATCGTGTTTGTTATTGTAGAGTTGATCGTTCTGCTGGTTCTTGTTGCAATCTGGCGAGTTCAAAGAGATGATCAGTTGGCACCTACACAACAACAGATGTGTTACCCGCGGGTCAAGTTAATTTAATCAAAGTATATTGTTGTTTTAACCTGAATAAATATCTATCTCTATCAAAGCCAAGTCGGCGATTATTCTAGATAAATATATACCTGTCACAAAGATTTTTTCCATTAAGAACGTGCTAAGCTGTAATGAGCTTTAATGCTATCGGTGCAGTTCGAAACCAAAGAAATGATCTCGGAATTTGCCAAGTTTGCCTTCCGTGTTTGTATTTTTGTGTCCGCCATGTTTAACATTGCGCGGGAAATCACGTGATCGGAAACGCTCTTTCGACTGTGGGACGGTCTTTACCAGTTTCTAATTACTTATTCTTAGGTAGTGGTTTCCCTGCCCGTACTCTGCCTTATGCCGTTCCCTGTTTTTGTTTGGGGTGCTCCTGGGCTCCTTGCCACTGGCTCTTGTTACTGGGTCGGGTGGGGGCTGCGTTCGTTGAACGCCGCCTTTCCTTGATGATCTTGTTTATCATATTTTAGTCGCGACTGAGGGCGTACGACCGTGTTCATAAAACGGTCATGTGAAAATCAAAAGCTCGGTCGTAAGATGAGATCGCAGTTACGACCGTTGATAGAACGGCACTCGATATTATAACAAAATGGAGCCTTGATCTAATGTTTATGCATTATATATTATTATGCAAATGCATTATTTAATAGTTAATGTTAACTGATAATATTTGAATACATTAAGCTGTAAATACAATCATTAATCGTTTGTAATTAAGTAATAAATTTCGCACATTCGCACAAGTGTTTGAAATATAAAAAAATAAATTTAAAGACGTTTGCAAGATGGCTGTCTTAAAATCGTCCACGTGTCTGCCTGCAACAGTCTTAATATTAATAGTGAAATGGATACCCCATATGATGTTATATGAGGTGCATCTCCATCGTAAGGTTGATATTTAAACGGTGTTATGATCATATCATTATCTTTTATCATAAAATCAGAAAGTTTAGTTTTTATA